TGTCTTAAATCTTCAAATAAGAATATTACATGGAGTGACGAGCAAACACGCTACTATCTTCAACTGAGACTTGATGAGAATCTGAAGGGAAACATAAGAAAAAAGACGGTGAATGAGGCTGGGAGACAGATGATAATGGATAAGTTCTATGAGGCATTTGGCATAAAAATTCCATGGAGAAAATTCGGGATTAAGTACAATACTTGCAAGAAGCAGTATGACTCTTTTAAGAAGTTGACTCGGAACAGAACGGGTCTTGGCTATCATTCCAATGGATCTATCAACATGAGTGAGGACTGGTGGAATGAGCGATGCAAGGTACAAGTTCTATGATCCTCCTAACTTTAGTGGTTCAGTTTTGATTGTGTTGTTGGAATATAATGACTTGATGATGATTTTCTGTTTATTTTTGATTGTTGGAATAATAATAATGATGTGATGATGATTTTCTGTTTATTTTTTATTCTATGTTTAAATTTTGTTTCTCTGTTATGTTATAGTTGAAGGTATCTCTGTTATGCTTAACTTGTGATCTTGTTTCAGGAGTGGCCTGGTGCTAGAAAATACAAGGACAAAGAGATGCCAAACATGGATGTGATGGAGCAAGTTTTTGGGCCAGTTTATATTAGTGGAGGTGAAGGTTGGTCTGCTCAGCAAGGTGAAGAGGTTTTAGACACAAGGCACTCAGATGAAGATGAAGATGATGGTGAAGATGATGCTGAGTCAAAGCGTGGTGTCCCTACTCAAGAAGCTGCTGGAGCTGAGTCAAGGCGTGGTGTCCCTAATCAAGAAGCTGCTGGAGCTGAGTCAAGGCGTGGTGTCCCTACTCAAGAAGCTGAATCAAGAACTGTTGGCCCCTCTTCTTCTAGAGGATCAAAGGTTAATAGAAAAAGATCAAGGATTGTACAAGCAGGACAAGCTGTGGCTGATGTGATTAGGGGGAGTGTTGAGTCTCGAGACAAGATTCTTGCCCACAAGAATCATCTAATAGAGAACCATCCAGAGTTTAGTTGCAGTCAACTTCGAGCTATGGAGGTTCTACACTCCTTGCCTGCTATACGGATGTGGTCTCCTCTATACAAAGCCTCAATCAACCATCTCAAGGAAGATCCTGCAAATCGTCAGACTTTC